GAGTTTCGTGTTTAATTTTTTGAGGTAACTCCATACCTTTCCACAGTGGCTGCACCAATCTGCATTCCCACCAACACTGCAAGAGGGCTCCCTTTTCTCCACATCCTCACAAAAACTGTTGTTTGTTGATTTATTGATGACAGCCATTCTGACAGGTGTAAGCTGGTGTCCCATTGTGGTTTTAATTTGCATTTCTCTGATGATAGTGATGTTGAGCATGTTTTCATATGTCTGTTGGCCATCTGTATGTACGCTTGGGATAAATGTCTATTCTGGTCCTTTGCCATTTTTTAATTGGATTGTATGGGTTTTTTGGTATTAGATTTTATAAGTGCCTTATATATTTTGCACATTAACCCCTAATTGGGTGTATCCTATCCCATTGGTATGACATCTTTTCATTTTGTTGATAATTTCCTTCACTGTGCAAAACTTTTTAGTTTGGTATTTTGATGTTTTGTTGGGAGTTTAAATCATAAATGGATATTGAATAAAAACGTATGTATTTAAATTAGACATTGAAAAAGTGTATGGTAAGTGCTTTGATAGGGGAAGTAGGGATAGAATAGGGATCGTATAAAAAGAGCAACTTGTTTTTATTTGAGAGGAGGCCTTTCAGAGGTATGTGGAGACCTGGAGGGTACGTAGGAGGGGACTGGAGGGAGTCTGCAAAGGTCTTGATACGAAGCAGTGTTGTGTCTAAGAGCCTAAGGCAGCTCCGTGTGGGTGAAGCTCGGACTTTGGTGGGTAGGAGCAGCACAGCAAGAGGAGGAGGCGTCTCCGTTAAACGTGCCCAAGAGTCGCCCTTGCTCCTCATTCATTGGGAGGCATAACGAATGTTATCCTTCAATACAGTTCCTAGCCAGTGTAAGGAAAGAGGAGTGAGAGAGAGAGAGAGGGAGGGGGAGAGAGAGAGAGAGAGAGGAAGGGAGAGAAAGAGAGAGAGGGAGAGAGAGAGAGAGAGAAGGTCATATTTCCTAGTGGAAAACAGACCAGCTTCCGAGCACTGAACAGAGCTGCCATGTGGCTACTGCCTCTGATGAACCAAACCGACAGAGTGGTATCATGCAATCGCTTGGATTTACACTGAGATGGAAACCACGTCATATGGATTAGGAGGATGGTACAGAAGTTAAGAAGGCCCCACGAAGGAAAACATAAAAAATATCACTCTTTCTACTACTTTTCTTGGTCTTTCTTTTTAAATCTTAACTTCTTTCCCATGAAGTTGTTGTTATTGTTTTTTAAATACTTGCAAACAGGGATCATCTGTAAAACAGAAAGTGTCACTGACTTTTTTTTAATTTGCTAACTTCTCTGGCTCATAAAAGGATTATCATTAAGATTACAGGAAAGCCCGACTGGTGTAGCTCAGTGGTTGAGCATTGACCTATGAACCAGGAGGTCACAGTTCGATCCCTGTCAGGGCACATGCCCAGATTGCGGGTTCATTCCCAGTGAGGGTAAGCGGGGAGGGTGCAGGAAGCAGC